CCCAAACTGCAAACAGAAGGATTCGAGTACCTGTCTGTGAGAAAGCGATCTTGGAGTCCGCAGAAGGCCCTGGCACCAACACTTGTTTTCCCAGTGAGTGGTTGGTCTAGTGCCCTGAGAGACAGAGGGAAAGTAAAACTGCTTCCCATTGGGGAGTTTATTAAGGACATTCCCTCTACTCTTCCTCTCCATTGGCCCATAACCCCTCCCACCCCTGTGTCTCTGTAACTTATTTCCCTGGGAAAAGGAGGGATTAACTTCATTTTGTAAGCTCCGTGGAACTGTGGCTCTGCCGAACCCCTGGGGGCTGGTCCACCCTCAGCAGCTCTCCTCTTTCTAGTTTACAAACCCCTCTGTCTCGCCACCAGTCTGGGACTTCTCCAGCTGATTTGTAGGCATGGTAAATAACAGGTGAACCTGTCCAGCTTCCAGCAAGTTCTGGCCAGAAGCCACATTGGTTGCCTCATTTGTCTCTTCTGGGTCAGAGGGTTGGGGCAGGAGTGGGGGTAGGGTGAGGGTAGAATAATGTTGTGGATCGTCTAAGAAGATGACCCGATTGCAGTTGGAAAAATTACTCAGGAGATAATCAAGGATAAAAACCAAATGATCCTTTAGCCCACAGAATATTTGTTGAGTGTCCACCATGTGGTAGGCACTTGACAGTCAAGAAGTTGTTGACCAGGAAGCAGTCAGATGAACCAAAGTAATAATAATATCATAACTAATACGTATTTAGCATTAATCATGGGTTACGTGCATGTACGACACCATATAGCACAACTACCCTCCGAGGTAGTGAGATACTATGATTATCCCCATTCTATAGATGGGTAAGTTGAGGCTCCAAGAGCATAAGGAAGAGCCCAAGTTCTCCTACATAGCAAAGCCCAGTCTGAGTGTCAGACTCCAAGGCTCAAGGTCTTAACCAAAGTTCACACTTGGGCATCGAGACCTGTCTGCTTTACCTGAGCAAGTCACCTAATTTCTAAGTTTCAATTTCCCCCTTTGAAAATTGGGAGGGAGCTAATTCCTCTTACAAGTTATTGTAAGCATCTGCTGAGTTAAAATATGTAACATTCTTTGTGAGTGTAGCATATATATTTTATCGAGCATGTGCTATAAAATTAATGAACATTCGTGGAGCACTCACTCTGTCCGAGCATGCTGCAGGGACTACGAGAGATTTAAGGATTTCTAAACTGATGTTTTCTCCCTCAAGAAGGGAAACAAGGAAGAATAAGACAGTCCTCTGATACGCAGCAGTTACTGTAGGTGATGTGGGGGCTCAGAGAGAGGGAAGCGTGCTGGACCCACATGGCCAGTCCAGGAGGGAGGATGGGAAATGAGGAAGGTTTCAAAGAATCAGAGGGATGTGGATGGACAAAGAAGAGGAGGGAGAGAATTATCTAGAGGGAGGAGAGGGCGAGCAAAGTCACAGAGGCAGGACGTTTCAAGAGAGCTGAGGAAACAGCGTGTATGTCCATGGGGAGGTGTGCGAGAGCAGAGTGTGATGTCTGGTTAAGATGGAGGCCACCATTTTCAAAGCAATGAGAACCATGGAGGATACCTGAGAAGGCTCCTTAATCCCTGCCCAGGGCAGGACTCCATTTTCTTCTGAAAGCAAGAAGAAGAAACATTTAGAAATGAAACCAGGAACACAAGCTGTTGTGTGTAAAGGGCTAATCCGTCTTCTATTCTTTTGCTCCACAGAACTCTAGCCATGTTGCTTGAAAGAGGGGTCATTTAGAAAACTGAAAGGAGGGGTGCCTGCGTGGCTCAGTGGGTTAAAGCCTCTGCCTTCAGCTCAGGTCATGATCCCAGGGTCCTGGGATGGAGCCCTACATCAGGCTCTCTGCTCAGCAGGGAGCCTGCTTCCTCCTCTCTCTCTGCCTGCCTCTCTGCCTACTTGTGATCTCTGTCAAATAAATAAATAAAATCTTAAAAAAAAAAAGAAAGAAAGAAAGAAAGAAAGAAGGAAAGAAAACTGAAAGGAAAACTGATTTAGGTGTCATTGAGGGTAGGAGTTAAAAGTGGCATTAGGGGTCCTCTAGTGGGGGGTCTTGTGTTATCATTTTATGGGCAAGTGGCTGAGGTCGAAAAAGCTGAAGAGACCCCCTGAGATTGCAGGTGAGCTCAGCGTCACCCTCCTCCCCAATGATTTTTCAGAGACTTTTTACCACAGGCTCTGGAAGTCCCCAGAGCCTCCCCTGTGCTCCGCATCGGAGGCCTCCCGAGTCCCCCAGCGCCACCTGCTCTGCTCTCCGTGGGCATCAGTGGCTTGGGATGTGTCAGCCTTGTTAGTGTGTTCGTCCGCCAGTAAATAAAGAGCCTCAAACCAACAGAACTTGAATGTTTTAGGACACTGTTAAGGAAGCAAGGCTCTGGGAGGCGGGGATTCAGCCTCATAGGCTACAAACCAAGGTAAGGAAACAGGGAAGGAGGGAGCGCAGAGTGACTTGACTGTCTGGTATATTGGCTAGCCCTGACTCGAGACATAGGATAAGGGCAGAATCTATAATTGAACCTTTCTTCTTTGTAAAATAATTTGACTTTCAAGATTCACTTACTGGAACATCCGTGAAAATCTCCTGATGGAGTAGGCAAATGTAAGGAGAAGCAAGGAATGGACGAAGAGAATGAATTTACTTGGGGATCTAGCAGTTGTCAGTAAATACTGGTGCAACGTGGACTTTAGAGATAAAACAAGCAGCTGTTACTGGCTTCTGGCAAATTCAGATACTTCATCTCTGTTGGGGTAAGTTACCATGGACTCTGGCTTTCATAGTCAGCTGAAACAATCTTGAATAAGAAACTGTTCCTCTTCACCATCTATAGGAATTTATGAAGTGCCCCTTTTGGATATGTCATTTTAGAGAATGAACCCTTTGTGTTTGGCTTGCTTTCAGTAAGTATTTGATCGACGTGAGAGAAAGGCCACAGAATACATTGAGAGTAGATTTTCAATATGAGCTTCCCTAACAGCACAGCGATGGGAGGCAGGACAGACTCAGCTTTTGTGGGGGCTGAAGTTTTTACAGTTTGTTTGTTTTGAAGCTTATACAGTTTTTAGAGTCCTCTATAAGATAAAAATCTATAAAATCATGAGAGAAGAAGTGCCTCTGGTCATTTTGATATCATCTGACAGAAAGGAAATATGACAGAAGGAAGGAGACAGTAGTCTTAACTGATTGCAGTGAACTTATCTTAACTTTTGCAAAATTTACAGAATTTTACAAAAACATCTGGCTGAATGAACCCATCATGGAGGTCTCTCACGGGAACCTGTGTGAGGGAGGGAAGCCAATCTGAAGTTCATGTTCTGTTGGCTTCGCAGGAGGCATTCCCTACAGCGGTCATGGGCCAAAACCAGTCGCAGGGGCAGGACACCTGCCACTCTCTCTGACAGAGCAATGGAATCATCTATGGAGTGGAGAGAGACAGCGCGTCCAGCATCAGAGCTGAATCACGGTGGATATGTGATGTAGATGTAGTAGCTTATCTTCCCGGTCCCATGAGGGACATCTTATTACCATTCTGAATTTTTCCATGAGAAGGCTGAGATGAAGAGAGGTTGATTTGCCCAAGTGGGAGGACCTTTGTCCCGCCACTAGCCTCCACCACTGCTCACAATAACTGCCTGTCGAAGTCAGCTGGACGCACAGACCTCCACTGAATGTGACAAGGTCTCTGTGACAAGGTCACCTGCCTCAAGGTCACCTACTTGTGTGTGGCTGGTTCTCTGAGCTTTCCCGCGCTGCGGTAAGGTACTCCTTGAAATACAACTAGAGACAGACCTGACATGCCAGGACTCCGTTCCAACTATTAAAGATATCTAACATCACTGTTTTTCAGGTATAAAATCAGAAGGCTGTGCATATGGAGAAACGCTGGAGGAACAAAGTATGTTTGGCTTCCTGTATGACTTGTATTTGTAATCGTTACGATGAAAAGCCCAAATTTTCTCCCAAAACAGCTTTTTATCCCCCTACTGATTTAAAAACACTTTTTATCGAGGTTGAGGAATATAACAACAACATACCAAAACCAATTACCTTCCTTGATGCCAGTAATAAGCAGTAGAAAATATATGAGAAACTCAGCACTGCTAGTAATAAATATATTTACCCAAGAATCAGTGGGACAAGAAATGTGCATGATTTGTGGAGACAATTACACTTCGTTGAAAGACATTAGAGATAACCCAAGTTGGAGCACCTTGATGGCTCAGTCATTAAGTGTCTGCTTCCACTCAGGTCATGATCCCAGGATCCAGAGATAGAGCCCCACATCGGGCTCCCTGCTCAGCAGGGAAGCCTGCTCCTCTCTCTCCCACTCCCCCTGCTTGTGTTCCCACTCTCTCTGTGTCTCTCTGTCAAATAAATAAATAAATCCCAAGTAGAGGAAGACATAACTCATGATAATGGATGGAAGAGTCAATACTAGGAATAAGGTATATTTTCCCTAAATTAATCTAAAAATTCAATTCGATTCAAGTTGAAACCATGCCAGGCAGTTTCTGTAGCGTCAGTAGGAGTGTGGGCTCCTGGGTCCCTGGTCAGTGGCAGAAATGTGATACCTGCGTGAGCAGTGGAAACCGAGGGTATAGGCGTGGGGGCTCCCAGCCCAGTGCGGACAGTGTCTTCTGGCCTCTAGCTAACTTCTCCTTCTCCATTTTGTTCCACGAGCCCTCCCCACGCTTTGGTAACTAATTCCTTGTATTAAATTTTTCTATGCCTGAAATAGCTCAGAGGGTTCCTGTTTTGCTGACTGGGCTCTTGCTAATACAGAAATACCTACATGAGTGCTAGACTGAACGATTGTAGGGTCTGACAAGACAGAAAGAACGGGGCTTTCCAGATGGGATTAGTGCCCTTCTGAGACACCAGAGCACTCTCTCTCTCCCGGCAGAGATACACAGAGGAGGTCATGTGAGCACACAGTGAGACCCTGGCTGCCCGCAAGCCAAGAGAAGAGGCCTCAGGATAAAGTCTACCTTGCAGGCATCCTGATCCTGGACTTCAAGCTTCCAGAACGTGAGAAGTAAGTTTTATGTGGTGGAAGCCACCCAGACTATGGTATCTTGTAATGGCCGCCTGAGCAAACCAAGAGTAAAAAGAAAGTCAAGAAAGTATCAAAGATTAACCAAGAGGAAAAACCTAAATACCTGTAGAAAAACAGGCTGAGGATGAAGGAAAAAAAAGAAAAAGCGACACAGTAAGAGGTGAGAAGAAGGATAAAGAAATAACTCCCTCTCATATCCTCCTGTTGTTTTGTTTTCTTTCACAAAGGGAGAGAGGTTTAGGGGGTTATGTTTTATTTGCCAAGTGAAGAACTGAGGACTTACCCAGGGAATGGAATTAATATAAAAAGCCTAAATAATTCAAATCAAATCCCTTTTTCCCTCTTACTAATGTTTTTTTGTTTTTTATTTTATTTTTTAAAAGATTTCATTTATTTGAGAGAGAGACAAAGAGCAGAAAGGGAGCACAAAGGGTGGGGAGAGGCAGAGATAGAGGGAGAGGGAGAACCAGGACCCAAGCTCCCCACTGAGCAGGGAGCCCAATGGTGGGAGGGGGCTCAATCCCAGGACCCCATGATCATGACCTGAGCCAAAGGCAGACGCCTAACCAACTGAGCCACCCAGGCGCCCAGTAATAACAATAGCATCTATGTAGTTGTCTTAATCCTCCTTTTATTTATTTTTTTTAAGGAAATATCAAGTTTAATTTAAGGGAAAAAAAAAACAGAAATTGTCTGAGGAAACAACAAAACAAATTAATTCCTGAAAAAAGAGTTCTGCATCTTGGTGATCACATTTGTTGAAAGGGTTGCAAAAAAATTAAAATACCCGTTAGCTTAAGAATTTTTGAGCTATCTGCAAATCAACTCATTTCAGGAGTGGAAGAATCCTTGGTTATTTCTTACTATCAAAATTTACACAGGTTTCTCTTTTGAACGTCTTCTACATTTAAAGAGGCAATCATACAAAAACTCCTATATTCCAAACACGATAAATTCTTTGTTTCCGCTGAATGTTAATGGAGGGGCAACTAGTACAACACCATCTCCCCAGACAAAAAGCATCGGAATATTCCGTTTTGTTGATTTATAGATCTCTTCGTATGTTTCCTCCTCAATTTCTACGGTAGTCACAGTTTCTTCCACATCTCCCAATATCATATTTAAATGCTGATCATAAGCATGTAATCTGCCTCGAAGCTCTCTGTCATTTCTCATTTTCACATAAATTCGCTCATCTAGGCTGAGGTTGATGAGATCCAAGGGCTCTTCTACGGTGCTGGTCTGTTGTTGCTGGTCTACGTCGTCTGCCATGTTTCAAACCCTGTGCCCTTTCCCCTTAATCCTCCTTCTACTTGCCTCTGCTGCTAACGTCACCAATTCTACTATATTAGACATAGGTATAGCCAATCGCTAAATTTCAAGAGCATAGAAAAAAATAATGATGAAGCGATAGGAAAGAGAAATCCCAAACCTATGGCAGACTTGTCTGAAATGTGTTCCTCTAACAGGTATTATTTTTTTCTGTTGAAATAGTAAGGATATTAAACTGAACATACATGCAAAATATGGTGTTAGGTGAAGCTGGGGAAACAAAATTTAGTACTTAAAAAACAAGAGTGAAATCTTCCTGTAAAAAAGATTTTTCAAGGCAAAAATACTTATTTTTTTTTTTTTTACATTGATAACATCCAAATGGTACTTAAAGTCAATTTCCTGGATGATCAGCAAACAAAAATTTTGCAATGCACTACAAGGCCACAGATTCTCTGTACTGTGCAGGAGACTTAGGGAGAGAATTTGGCAAATTTAGGAAAGATAAGAATGTCTAGAAATGACTAGAAAACTTGCACCTGGCCCTGAGCAGACAGCTGTCCTTTAACTAGACCTGACACAAAACACATTTGTCTGCTCATTCAAGCCCTCTTGCCTCAGTGTGCTGAGAAGCCAGACACCTTTTTCTGTAGCTATTGTTTCTATGGTTAAGTTAGGAAGACAACATTTTTTGACAGGGCATTTTTTAAAAGATTTATTTAATTGAGAGAGAGAGAATCTCAAGCAGACTCCCCATTGAGTGTGGAGCCCAAAGTGGGGCTCGATCCCACGACCCTGAGGTCATGACCTGTGCTGCAACAAAGAGTCAGAAGCTTAACGGACTGCACCACTCAGGTGCGCCCAGGGCATTTCTGAATAAAATCTGAATTTAGAGCTATGATTCTCCTAAGAGGAGAAGGAATATCAGAAATAGAATCTTCTAGGGGCTTTGTTGAAACCTCCCATGACCTCTCTTCCCGGTCCCCAGGGGGGCAAGGGGATGCTGGTCCTGATGGGAGGGTGTGACATTCCCTCAGGCCCACATGGCTGGAGGCAGGGGGACGGTTGAGAATCAGTAACATATAAGAACAGGGAGAAGTATTTTATTGCAGTGATAAAGCAGTGTAAAAAAATGAGAATTCTCATCTTGGTTTTATTTCCTTTACTTTTACAAAACAATTGTTTTAAGATTTTCTTACAAAAAATTTTTAAAAGACATACAAATGACATTCGGGAGATGAGAATAATATTCCTCCTAATACAAAGTCATTGAAGTAAACAAGAGTTCAGGTGCCAGACAGCACAAGGCACATTTATTCACCAAGACCAGAAGCCCCTGAATCAATGACTTCTACTTTTTCCAACGCAGTATTACTGGCTGTGGGAAATAATTTGCCTGAACTCTCTTTTTCTCTCTCCTGTTTGGCAGCCTCCTCCCAAGTCGTCGCCAGAGGCCTCCCCATGGTTTCTGGAAGCATTAGCGACAGCATGCCACTGACGAACGCCAAAATCCCAACAACCAGCTAGAAGGAATTAAAAGAACAATAGTAAGTGACATATCAAGAAAGAAATGTACCCTTCAGAGAGAACAGTAATTTCTGAACCTTTTACAGAGGGCAACAGCATTAAATTGGAGGGAAGAGTTGTCATTTTTATGCCCCGGGGAAACTTCGGTTACTTATGCGGTCCGCAGAGTTGGTCCAGTCACTGGTTCGTTCATTCGACCACCATGGAGACCTACTCAGCAAATCCCAGTTAATGTCTACATTAGTGCCCTTGCAGGCACTGTCCTAGGAGCTGCACAGAGAAAAAAGTCCCTGTCCCATCTTCTCCGATCCTAGAGAAACCCAGCAATTGAACCCTGGGTTGGGACTTCATGGCCAGAGACTGTCTTAGTCAAAGTTGTCCCTGCCCCCCAAATCGGTACATGATCAATATTCAATAGATGAGGCAGAATGAATGAATGAATGAATGAATCCACAAATGAGTGTTTCAATGAACCCAAACCTACAGAATTTAGAGAGAACCAAACAAAGGCAAATAGAAACTAACTGGTACTTTGCGGGGTAAGGGTCCATGTGATTTCCTAAAAAAATTCAGTATTTCTTTACTTTCCAAATTTTCACACCCAAAAGGCAAGCTTTTAGATTAGCACCAAGGTGGTTTGCCTTTAAAAATGCAAATCACATTATACCCATTTTACCTCAATTTAAGAAACAGCAAATCGCATTAAGATTTAAAGACTGCCTATCTATTCTCAGTTGATCCTTATAGAGATCCTGGGTGGATTCTAGAACTAAATCTCTACACAGTCTATAAAAATGGGTCTCAACCTTACATAATTTAAACGCCTCCAGCCAAAATTACTGCCTGGGAAGAACTCATAAAAATAAAAGAAGGCATGGATTTCCTGACAGGTCTGCGTCCTTGGAGGAGAAACTCGCAGTGCACAGTACCTTGGTGGCATGAGGCAAGGCCCCATCAATAACACGTGGGACCCAAGAAGGCGGGTTTTTATTTTGTTTTGCGGAACGCTGATAACCTAATTCTTCGAAGTCCTTGAGCAAGCCTAGAAGCAGTCACAGAATTTAACGTGACTTTCCAAAGGACGCTTTAAGGTATCTTCTGGTGACTCCAGACATAGCAGGGGAACCCACTGGATAAGTCTAAAAAGAGTCACTGGAAGATCCAAACCAGGACTGGATTTTTCTTTTTTGGCTTGGCCGTGAGAAGGATCGCCAGGCAGGACACAAACCCCATAACCTGTCACCTCCCTCCTTTCTCACATAAGACCTGGTCTCCTGCCACCTGGGCCAACTCCCTCCGCCCCCTCAGGCGTCCTCATCACAAGCCCCCATCACTTGTTCTTCATCTCTCCCTCCCGCTTCACCCTCTCCAGACCCCACTGCCCCCTACCTCAGATGGCTGGGGGAGGGGGGACCGGTGGGGGTGAGGGAGGGTTCCTCTATCAACAGCCTCCCTCTTCTCTGCATGTTTTCAACCCTTTCCTTTCTCCCAGTTACTTTCCTTCAGTAAAAATAACCGTTCTCAAGCCTCTTATAATCTCTGTGCCCGCTCTGCCTGGGAACTTGCTCCTGCTACCCATGTGGTCTTGGTTACTTAAATTTCCTGCTCCTCAGTTTCCTCATCTGTAAGATGGAAATAAGAGTAGTACCTGCCTCAAAGGAGGGTTGAACGAATTAAATTAAATGACCCATCTAAGGCGCACTTAAAACAGTGCCTGTCCACGGTAAGCGGTCCATAAATGGGATCATGTCATTTAAAGAAGCCAGAGAGGCCCCCAGCCTTGGCCCACATCACCCGAGCCCCTCAGTCTGCTCACCTCCCCTCACCTCTTCATAAACTGACTCCCACACCCACTCCTCTGGCTGACCTGTGGGGGCTTCCCACCCATCACACACAATTCCAGTGCACTGTCCTTCCCCATGTCAACCTGTCCCTCCTCCCGGGTTCCCTCCAGCCACCAAGAATGGCTCTGGCTTCCCTCCCACTCCCTACCTCCAGCACACCCAACTGTTCACCATGTCCTGTGGATGTGACTTTTTCATCCCATTGTCTCTAAGTCACCCTTAGCACAAATGCAGTTCCCTTCCGACCTCATTTGATATCCCTGCCTGTTTTTCTAGAGGCTCTCCTGACTTCCATAACCCACCCTGGTGTTAGCAGTAAGCATGACCCCAAACCCAAACTCGTCATGTTCTATTTTCTCTGTAAGCCTTTGCCTTCCTGTTCCCCCTACCTAGAATTCCCTTCTCTCTTTCTCCTCTGGCTGACTTCTACTGGCCCTTCCAGACATAGATTGGAGGACCCCTCCTCCAGGAAGCCTCCCCTCTGGCCCTAGCCTGGGTTGGTAGCCCTCTCCTATAACCCATGACCCTGGCATTCCCCATGTTCAGCCCTCATCTCTGGGGCTTGGGATGGTTTGTTCTTCTGCCTTCCCCAGGCACTGGACAGACAGACGTCTCTCAGGACCGAGGCTGTTTCTTTCATCTCTGCTCCGTAGCACCTAACAAGGAGGCTAGCTCAAATACAACACTCAACAAATCTTTGCCAAACTAACTGAAGAATACAAAACTGATAGGAATTAGTGTCCCCTTATTTCTTAGACTACTAGAAAACAATGGTCTATAATAAAAGCATCAGAACAGGTGATTTTCATGTGCTTCTTTTTGGAAGAGAAAACACAAACTCATCTTCTAGATCAGCATTTCCATTCCTCCAAAGGAAAATATTGGCTCCCTAGGCACTTTGACACCCATAAAGAAGCTTAATGAGAAATTTTATAATTTATTTTCTTACTCATTAAAAACAACCAGCAAGGTCATCTGGGTGGCTCAGTGGGTTAAAGCCTCTGCCTTCAGCTCAGGTCATGATCCCAGGATCCTGGGATCGAGCCCCGCATGGGGCTCTCTGCTCAGCAGGAAGCCTGCTCTCCCCCACCCCCTTGCCTGCCTCTCTGCCTACTTGTGATCTGTCTAATAAATAAAATCTTAAAAAAAAAAAAAAAACAGCAACAGCTGTTGCATCCAAAAGAAGCATATTCAGACTATCTCTGCCAGGAACACAAGACCCTCCTGACAGAGGTTGTCTTGGGGAAAGAGGACTGGGCACTGAGGGTTAGGGAGGAGGACTTGATTTCTTTGTATTCCCTTCTGCACTGTTTGTTTAACCTGTGTGAAAAGTAGGGTATTTGGGTTTGAATCCAAGCTCTGTCACCCCGGTGACCTTGAGCTACCAATTATTTTCTAAACATCAGTCTCCTCATCTTTAAAATGCGGATAGCAACAAACAGTATCTGTAATCTATGAAGACCCGTTTTTTTTTTTTTGTTTGTTTTTGTTTTAGTTTTGCATAACAAGTGCTATTTAAGTAGCTGGTAAACAAAATTTAAAGTCCCTTTTGACTCCATAGCCCCTAACGGACTATTATGGATGTCTTTTCTTTCTTTTTTTTTTTTTTTTTGAATCTTTATTTGGTTTTAGTATTTTTAGAGCAGTTTGCTTTCATAGATGTATTTTCTGTGTGTTTCAGCTTTTTTGTTTCAAAAATGCCTTTTCCGCTTTTATCTCCTATTTATTTAATGAGGAGCACAGAGTGCTAGCACAAAGAAGATGCTTCTAGAAAAGTCCATGCCCTAAAAAGGATGGTGGACTCTCCAAAACACTTCTCTATGCAGGCCAGACAGCACGTATCATTTCTCAACCTCAGAGTCAGCCCCTAAGAGATGCTGGCATCCCAACACCACAATTACGCAAACCTGACGAGTGCCCATTACTGGGACGTGAGAGAGATCCAGGCTAAGCCAGTGATTCCCAAAGAGTAGGTGCACACCATCTCTGTGTGCAAGGTGATTTTAGGGAGCACCACACACTTTGTTCAATGGTTCAATGATAATGGTCCCGTTACTTTATTTTAGAAAAACATATGACTAGCCTAACACCCATGCTTTTGCTGATGATATTGCTGAAGACAAAGCTAATTTTAAAAAGCCAGTCTATTTGATTTAAAATACCAGTTAAGGGATAACATGAGTGGCACACAGAGAGAGGGAAATGCTTTGCTGGATACAGTCCTGGGGATCCAAAGTGCCCTATCCAGCCAGAGTCCAGCGGTTTAACTAGAGGGACAAAAACACATGCACAAACCATAAAGCTGGACTTTGGCTCCCTGTGGGCGCGAAAAGCAGCGCACGTGAAAAGCTACGCAGACTAGAGGAAGGGAGACGCGGGGTCGTGGGATCCAGGTGTCTTCCTCAGAGAAGTGGGGTTTGCTCTGCTTCTTCAAGGATACAGGCAAGTTTAGCAAGGGGAGATGGGAGGAGGCTTCCCTGCAGGGGGGTATCTGCAGGGGGTCCATCTGGAAAGGACTTCAATACCCAGCAGAGCTCAGACTTTCTCCAACCCTGAAGGAGACGTGGCAGTCAGGAGTTGCTGTGGTGTGGCGGACTCTTCTGACAGGGTCGGGGGAAGCACAGGGAGAAGATCTGGGAGGCAGACGGCGGAGGCCATTGAACCGGAAGCAGACAAGCTGGGGTGGTTTCCAGAAGGAAGGTGAAGGTTTCGTGTCATGGATGGGGACACGAGGGGGATAGAAGAACAGGGCCATTGAAATGTGGACGCTCAAGGGTCCTGCTGGAGGCTGCTGACTTCTCCCCCAAAGTGGGGAGCAGAGGGGAAGGGCATTAAGGCACGGCCCTGTCCTGTCCGGGAAAACCTGACTCCATTGTGAGACCCCCCCGGGAGAATATCCATGAGACCAGGCAAAGGATGGGTTTGCAGTGTGGAAGGGAAGTCTGAACGGAGAAGAGGTTTTCCACACAGGGACTGGGGAGGATAGCCAGGATGGCTCTCAGAGGATGAGTCTATTTAAGGCAAAACCAGAAAATGAATGAGGAGCACTGAAGACGAGAGGGGCAGCCTAGAGTGAGCTGTGGCAAATAAGTTCAAGAGAGGGCATCTGGAGGAAGAGGGAGAGGGCCAGAGACCCAGGGCCCTCCCCTAAGTTTCACAGTGCCCCAGGCCACCTCCAACCCCCACTCCCAAGCCCTCCCCGCCTCCCTAAGCCCCCACCCCACTTGTCTCCCATCTTCCTCCTGAGCAGAAGCCTCCCCCGTGAAGAACATGTCAAGTTTCAGGTAAGCTGAAAACCAGACCCCTAAACCTCTCCATCAGGTACCACAGAACCTTCCAAGCAGCAGGCAGCCTCTAGAATTCACCTTGACCTTGGCCAGGCAGGCACCTGGTGGGAACCCAGAGGCAAGGGCCGGGTGGGCGGAGAACAGAGCTCTCCCTACGCAGCTTCAGGAGATGGGTGGGGAGAGGTCCATCCACAGCGAACACAAATACAATTATGGGCTCACCAGAGGCGGAAGGCAATCACGGAATATAAAACAGCAACCGCCACTCTCCTTGCCGACTCGTTAACAAGGTTTCTATAAACCTCCAGAACTGCATTATAAACTGGCTTCCAAGAAGTAAAAATACAGAAGGCAATTAGCTCCCCCTCCCCGCTGCTGTCCCAGCGAGGTTCTCTAAACTGATGCACACCTGCGGTAGGAAGGTCCAAGCGCTGGAGAGATAAACCCAGAACGGGGCCACGATGCTTCCCAAACGGCTCACCATGCTGCCGCTTCCCACGGCCAGCGACCTGCAAACAGGAGGAGCATCAGGACAGCAGCCGGAAGTGCACATGGGTGCTGGGAGGGCAGACCTCCTGCAGCGCCCCCCGCCCCCACCTGCCCTGCCACACTTCCAGCAGAGAACAAATGTAATAAAACTTCAGCTCGGCCTAATATACTGGAAAATAATTTTACACTAAAGTTTCGAGAATCACTTGGGATTTAGATCCACATTCTGTGAAACAGTGGTATATACAGGCATACAGCAGATAATTCAAGACCCTTCAAGACCAAAAAATATATAATAATAAAAATAACCCATTCTTCCTTTGCTATGCAGATGAGGCCCTTATGTGTATTCATTCAGTCTAACATTGAGAATAACATTGGTCTTCTAGAGCAGGAATTTGGTTGGGGCAGGGAACGGACAGGAATGGGGAAGAACGGATTTATATCTGTGGAACATTCTATTTTAATTGTTTAAAGTCAAGCAGTATCTTAATGTGCTCCTCTTTAAAAGCTATTTAAGGTAGCCTTATAGGATGTGTAGTAAGAAGGAAAGAATGTGTTTTTAATGTGAGTAAGTATCTCTAATTAAGCCAAGAAGAAACGCCCCACACAGGAGAAAGCAAATCGGCCAAACAGTTTGATCCTGGACCTCAAGCCTCCAGATACGTGAGAAAATAGATTTCTGCTGTTTCAGGCACCCAACCTCTGGGGTTTTGTTAGGGAAGCCCTGAAAGTTAAGACAATGGACATCAGAACATCAAGAGACACATCCTGAGAAAATTAGCCTTGAATCATACAGAGAGTCAGTATAAGTCAATCGTATTTGAGATTTAAAATGGTTTTAGAAGAATAGAGTGTGATATCACAACAATTTCTTTAGTATCCTTGCTAATGAGGTATAGACAAAGCCTCAGATTCAAAATTTGCATCATCGTCTGACTTTCCCATGTCTCAGAGCTCCAGTAACTGCTAAAGAAAGAAAGCATTTCTACTCAAAGGTCAAATATAATGAAATGACATGTAAGCAAAGGACAACAAAAAAACAAAAGAAAAATAATTCTTACCTTACCACGGTCGGATACAGCTCTGCTGTATAAAGGTAAATGAGGCCAAACGAGGCCCCTATGGCAAATTTTCCAGCCATAGTCACCACCACAGTATAAACAAAGTAATCCTGAAAAAACATATATTAGCAAAATAGGCCATCAGAAGTAACATTTTTAAAAGAAAAATGTGAAATCTTTAAAATTATTATTTATTATTACTATTATTTCTAATTACCCAACACTGTTCAGAACAATGAAAAGTTTCATTTCTCTGTTTGAATTTATTTTGTAATCTCTACTCATGGTCTCTGAAAGCTTTTCATCTTCCCAAAATTTAGAGAAAGGTTTAATTGCACCTCCCCTCGGCCTTGGAGATGTCAAATGAACAAATGAGAAAAGCCGTTTGCAAAGACTGCTCTCGAGACACGCCCAGATGGTACCCATTCCCTAGTAATTGACCCACTCCTGGAATTGAGCAGAGCAGAATGAATCAAAGAGCCATAAAAACAAATTGTGCCCTTTGCAACAGTAATCCTCTAGCTTATAAATTATCTTTAGAAAATAATCTGAGATGGATAACTGAATTATTAAAACAGATTCTTCTTTTTTTCTTTTCGTCGATGCATTTCTCAACAGCGACCCTTCTCAACAGAGCCTCCAACTCAGTTTCTGCTGTCCCTCCACTTCCAGCTGTGGTTCGCAAAGCCCTCCCCCGTTCCATCTTTGCTCTCCTTTCCTGTCTGCCAGCTGGATGTGGAGACCCAGGGGACCCTGGAGTTCGTGTGTTGAGGATGGCGGTGCCTCGGTCAACCTCAATCCCTGAATGACCCGGTGAAGCCAAACACCCCCTCCCCTCCCAGCACCACTACCCAGGTATACCCACATCGGACTTTCTATGGGCAAGAATAAGTATCTATTCTGCGAAGTCCCTGGAACCTGATGGAACTCGCCTCTAATGAAGCAACGAATGTCACCTTGTCATCCTGATCCCTGCGTGTTTGCTGGATGACTCTGTTGACAGTATCTGTTGTAGATAGTGTTTACTGAATGAATTAATGTAACCTGGAAAACACTGATGGGTGCTGACACTGCCGTTTGGGGAGAAACTTCATCAGAAGGAAGAAATTTGTGGTTAAATGTTAGTGCCCTGTTTCTAGAAATCCCCATCAGCTACTCTCCTGTTTTCCCCATTATCGCAGAGGCGTAATCATTATAGGACTCAGAGGTTTTGGGGTTCCCCTAAATCTTCACCAGCCAGCTCAAAGGCAGCTGCCATCAACTCAACTACTGTACCTGTAAACTACTTGAAAAGACAAAACCAAAAAAAGGTGTGAATGAAGTTCCCTCAAACTGGCAGCAACCCCCTGGTCCTGAGTAGTTTGACGGCATTCGTGATAGTTGTGCGTCAATCAGTGGGAAACTTCAATTGTATAAAACATTTGATTCACCATCCTTCAGAATTAAGTGAAGTATTACTATAAAAAGTCACTGGTTAACTTAAAGAAAATTTCAAACAATATGCAAAACTTAAAATGCCTTGCTCTAAATGGTGAGATACTCTTATAATCCTAGAGAAAATTATAGAAAGTATTTTTTTTAAGATTTTATTTATTCATTTGAGAGAGAGACAGAGAGAGCACATGCAGGCGGAGAGTCAGAGGGAGAGGAAGAAGCAGGCTCCCTACTGAGCAGGGAGCCCAAATTGGGGCTTGAGCCCAGGACCCTGGGATCATGACCTGAGCAGAAGGCAGATGACTGAGCCACCCAGGTGCCCCATAGAAGGTATTTTAAAGTACTGTTAGAGTAACCATATTTTCCAAATCAAGAAGGAAAACACAAGTTCTGATAACATTTTGCAGGGGGAAGAGGAGGAGCACTTCTGGATGCAAGAATTATTCTGGGGGGGGGGGGGGGGGTAGTGCCTGGGCGGCTCAGTCTTCCCAGTGTCCTGGGATAGAGCCCCGCATCGGGCTCCCTCCTCGGCAGGAAGCCTGCTTCTCCCTCTCCTTCTCCCCCTGCTCGTGTTCCCTCTCTCGCTGTGTGTCTCTCCCTTAAATAAATAAATAAATAAATAAATAAAATCTTTTAAAAAAGAGAGTTCTTCTAGGGGATGGTGTTTGCCCAACCATAGAAATGGGAAAGCGGTTTCAGTAGTTTCTGGCAGTGTTTCTCAGCAGGAAACTGCATTTTTAAGAACGAGCTCCTTGAGGGATTTAGGCACACTTGAAAGTGAAAACCACTAGACGCCTGCAATGAAAAGCAAGACTGTTTAAATTGAAACAGTCCTGAATATAAAACCCATTATATCCTTCAGATGTCTCCATTGGCTTCCTCCCTCCTCTGGTTTCTAATTAGCTGTGACCTTCTCTGAGAAGCACACCATCCTCGATCACCCTGGATAAAATAAACACATATCACACACACACACACACACACACACACTCCACCCCTCATCCCCTTTTGGTTTTCTTCACACTTGTAGAAACTTGATTCACTGTGTGTCTTCAGCCCCTAGAACAACATAATAGATGCTGGATACACATTTGTTCAACGAATTAATGTTTATGACAACAATCATCACTGGAGGACGTGATCAACTTCCCTCATTCAGGACCACTGTGTTTACAAAAAACAACACTGGTCATCCCTGGGAACTGGGATTATGGGCTTTTTTTTTTTTGGAAACATTTTTTTCCTTAAATTTTTTTTTTTTTTACCATGAGCATGTATTACTTACATCACAGAGAAAGAATGTTTTAAAAAATATTTTAAAAAATGTTTAAAATTTAAGACTGTTTCAAAAGAATATTTAAAAAAAGTTTTTTTTAAATATTATGTATCTTCTCTGTCCATGTGTCTGAATGGATCTTCGTCCTTACTGCCACGGTATAACTAACTGTGCCTTCAATAAAACATAAAAATAACTCACCTTGGGGATCACCATAATCACACCACAGAACAGTGCTCCGGAAATCAGTGAGCAGACCAGAACGTTTCTTCTCCCTATTCTGTCCATCCCCCAGCCTATGAAGATGTAGGCAGGAATTTCCACTGCACCTGTCATTGAGTGAAAGGGCTCTCTATAAGCCGTGGCAACAACCACACAAGGGGACCTCGTCTTCTAATCCACCACCCAAAAGGAAAGATCAGCTCTCTTCCCATTACCAGGGGCCCCTAAGGGCTACCGAATGCCTGCCCTGCAAGTCCAACCCCTTTGAAACTCCCTGGCATGAAGAGGATGTGTCCTCGGAAGTGCACTAACAGCCCCACAGTCCTCCTGGCACTTATCACCTGTCCTGGGGATCTCGCCCCCCACTAGGCTGTAAGTTCCCCGGTACACAACATGGGACCCAGAGGCCAGGTGTATTGGACGACTACATGAGTAAATTCATAGACGACATTGAAAATTTCTGATCTTTGGTTTCTCACGATTGGCAGAACGAGGGAAAATTCTAGGTCAGTAACTTCCAAGTTAGGAACTAAAGCAGAGAATTCACTGTCGGCTAGGTACACAAACCAAAGATAACACACGAAGGATTTTTAAATCTGAAAGTAAACATCTAAACATCTAACATGAATCCCCAATGGCCTCTTTTTACTGCCCCACCTTGAAGGTGAAGGCTGGAGCTCTGAGTCCATAACTGACTGGAAAGCCCTTCTCTTGAAAAACCAAAGTTTGAACCTGAGATCCAGAGCCTAAAAGCTCTATGCCTACCAGCCAGAATGAAACAGGGCGCAAGCAGAACCTTTTGGCCAAACTGAGCAGCCCCAACGATGTCCTTTAGGAAAACTGCCATCGTCTACCAGGCCAGATCTTCCATGTAATTCAGTCTTGGGGTTCTCCCCTCCCTCTGCAGCTTGCCTAATCTCAGGATGGGCCCCGCCCCCGCTGCTCAGGCGTGACAGGCCCTTGTCCACGCAACTGCAGAACACTGCAAGCACATGGAGTGGCAGGTCAGCCTCTCTGTCTCCCACAGCTTCTGAACACACCTCGGGGGGTGCAGGGAGGGGGGTAGAAACCTACACTCCGGGTGAACATTCTCAGTAGTACATCAGAAATTTACATAGCTGCCACTGCTCAAAAAAAAAAAAAAAAAAAAAATGGCTCAGGCAAAGACAAAAAAGAACATTCCGAGCTGTCTTTGAGGCTGCCTTCCATCGACATGGAACATAGTCAGCTCTGAAGGAAATGCTCCCTTCCACAGACCTGAAGTGGCAAAGTCCATGCTTTTAGGCCAGATCAGGGTGTACATCTCTTACTCTACTCTTCTTCTTTTTTAATTATTTTTAAGAGTTTATCAGGCACTTTTCAAGGTCAACTAAGATAATGACCCACAAAAGAGCCACATGGGAGTAAGACCAGCTTCGTGTCCCCTCTTTCCAACCGGGAGTAAATGCTTTGAGCCGAATGAGTAAGGGATAGCTCAGGGAAGCAAGGTCTTCGGGAGCCAAGACTCCTTTCCTGCAGCCTCCCTCCCCCCACTGCCTCCCTCTGTGCCTCAGGCCAGGGTGCCCGGCCACCAAGCAACTTCCTGGGGTCTAGCAAAGCAGAGCTGCAACTGTGAAATGGCTGAAGGGACATTTAAAGTATCCTACAACTGGTTTTTCTTGAGTTGTCGCTTCAAGATACTGACACCACCTCTAGTTTTTGGTGTGACCGTGTCTGGGATAGACACGTACAAGCAATGAGGCCCAAGCCTCCTGGGATTCGGACGATCAGCCATTACTTTCTTCAGTCTATAATACAGAATCTCCCCATTCATCCAGACCCAGTTATGCTCCTATCCCCACATGACCCCACGGGTATGTCTTGAAGCTGGACTGAAATCCCCACCAGCCCCGACCCATCTCCAGAGATAGAAACTCGTTCCAAAATGTCACAGCACAGAAATGCTGCCTGGAAGCACCTGCCAGCAAGAGAACTTCCGGGAAGGATAAAAACATGAAAAATCCAAGACAGTAGAGAATAGAAAACCATGTATATTTATCTTAGAAACATTTTTATATTTATGAGATGTCCCAGTTTCTTGGGAATTTATAACTCCATTAAAACAAAGAAACTGTATCATAGAGAACTAAGATTCCAACTTCCCTAAGCTTCCCCATGTCACACATACCCCCCCACCCCCCACCCCACCAGTCCTCCTGCCCCTTGCTACTCTGTTCTAGGAATTCTGCATCATTTCTCGAGCTGACATCCAGAATGGGTCTTGAAGCCAACACGGACTCTGTCTGCAAGCTTGTTGGCTTCCCCAAAAAGAGAAGAATGGGTTTTTATTTTTTCTTAAAATGACTCCCCTGGTAATTCCTGCTGAGCTATAATAAACAAAAACAGATGCATCATCAGAGTCCCTTAATGAGAAGGGACACGGTCTTTGTGTAAAAATGTAAGAGCGAGATTTTTCTGAGGATAATAGCAAAAGCAGGCAGCCTTCGTGAAAATGACCAGGAGTTAAGACTAGATGGACACGTATCAACTTCTAAAGTTTCTCTCATGTCTGGTGTGAATTTGGTTGACCCTCGGAGTCGTGCCTCAAGACGTCATGCTATCTGGGGCCATTTTAACCTGCTACTGAAATAAAGAAGCATGAAAATGAAATTATAGTTGCGTGTATTTAAGTGACCTTACGGACTACAATTTCTAAATTAAGGACTTTTGAAGGTAGAAAGATACCAGAAGAGCTCAAAGATGTATTAAATTTAAAAACAAAAGCCACTTGCAAAGAACAGTAGTTAGTGAATGATCTCTTCATCTGCACAAATGTATGAAAATGCATAGAAAGAGGTCTAAAAGGGTACAAGCCAGATATTACAGACAACACCTCTCAAAGAGAGTTCTGAGATGGGGATGGGCTTATGGGAAGGAAGCAAGCAAAGAGTAGAGGCAGAAGAGGAAGGAAGGACTCAATTCTTTTAAGTGCTGGCATGTTCTAAAAGAGAAATATAGGCGTGCCTGGGTGGCTCAGTGGGTTAAAGCCTCTGCCTTTGGATCAGGTCATGGTCCCAGGGTCCTGGGATCAAGACCCACATGGGGCTCTCTGCTCAGTGGGGAGCCTGCTTCCTCCTCTCTCTCTCTCTCTCTGCCTGCCTCTCCGCCTACTTGTGATCTATCTATCTCTCTCTCTCTCTGTCAAATAAATACATAAAATCTTTAAAAGAGAAATATATACCTGTACTCCAGCATAATAACACTAAAAGAGACCATAATAATATAGTTGGCAATATTGTTCCTGGTAGAGAAAAGACAATAAAAACATACTAAAAACATGGTGGAAACATCACTTCATTGCCACACTTAAATATACTTTAACTACTTACCCATGAGGAAGAGGTTTAAATATTCATTGCCTCCTAAATTAACAGAATTCAAGGAGAAGAAGTAGAATCCCAAACACCCAGTGAACCAAATCAGCCAAACAATAAGTGTCCTTGTTCCAACATTCCAGTTAGAAAACAGATCTATCAGGTTGTGCTTCTTAACTTCAGAGGGTTCATTACCAACAGGACCATTTAGATCCAGTGACAAAAGTTCTGACAGTTTACAGGAGCTCACCCTATTCCACTTGGCCATCGTAT